CAGGCAGTTGCCCGACAGACTCACCCTCGCCGGCATATTTGGAGCAAGAAAGTTGCACTTGCCACCAAGCTTTTGCCATGCAAATGTGTCCCTGGTGCCCATGTTGTTGGGCTCGTTGATCTCAGTGGGGCAGACCTTGCAGCCGGCAGCAAAGAGCACCCCATCTCCAAAGAAGAAGTTGTGAGCCAAGTTGATGAGGGCATTGTCATCCGCCGCTTTGCTCTCAAATTCGCGGGCTGGGGCACCCATGGTCGTCACCATGTTCTTGAAGTCGCGGTTGATGCGCCCATACAGGCTGTTGCCGCTCACATCACTGCGGAAAGCACAGGGAGTTCGCGGAGGGCAGAAGATTATATTGAGTATTTGGTCGGCGGCCGTCCCACCAGATAGAGGTGTCTGTGCAATGCCCATGTTGAGGGTGCAAGCTGTCATGGATGGTTCTGAGAATAGAGTATGCACGGTAGGCTCACATTTGTGTGATACACTTGTCAAAGAGGCAGTCTGGAAGAGGTCCGTAGAGGTAATTGTTGCTGATCAAGCTGCCAGCAGCACATCACACACCATGCCGCGCCGTGAGTCACACACCCATACAGAAAGGCAGATACACAAAAGTGAAACTACTTCACACATTTTAACAATCTCCAGAAGCATGAAAATAGGAGAGAAGCTGAAATTAAAAGGTCCTTAAAAAAAACCCTAATAAAAATTTGATCATCTGTATGACTGTCCCTCATAAGCGTCATAGCCTCATGGCACATTCTATCTGACTGTCACTCACAGGCGCCACAGCCACGGCAGCGAGCACAGGCCGGTTGGCAGAGGGCCTTCAATCTTGTTGTTGTCCAACCAGCTGGGGAGACAGGCAGAGCATTGGCAGGAACAAAGACGGGAACGGTTGCATAAAGAACAGGGGGTGGAGTGGGGATGGCACAGGTGATGTTTGCGTGTTTCGGTCTCTTGTGTTCATTTCATAGTGTGGAAGCTTGCTGGGTCTGTTATGGTCACGATGTACTGCAAGCTTGTGCTTGTGGTGCCTGTGTTGCTTCCTAAGCTGCCACTGTTCTTAAAAAAAGTAGAGGAAACCACATGGCACGCTTACATCTGTTCAAGATTCTTCAGTTTGCTGATGGCAGCTGGCAGACTGCCAGTGAGATGGTTGTTGGCCAAGTAGCTGGCGGGGGCAGTGGTGATGGCAGGAAGAGAGTGTGATGAGTAGCAGCGTATGCAAGTGCGGGCTGATGGCAGCTGGCAGACTGCCAGTGCGATGGTTGTTGGCCAAGTAGCTGAAGAGCAACAGCAACGGCAGGGAGACATTCGGATGAGAAACAGAGCATGCAAGAGTTGTGCAGACTTGTGCAAGAAAGGAAAGTATCGTTGGGCAGAGGTAGAAACGTGTGATGGGCACTCAGAAAGGGGATCCCTAAACACATGAGGCTTACAGGTATGCCAATTTCCTCATGGTGAAGACGGCTGAAGGGATGGTGCCAGTTAGCTGGTTGTTGTTGAGAAAACTGCAGAGCAGGGAAATAGCAACGGGGTACATTGGTTGAAAGTGCGAATTAAGCATGTGTTGCTGCGTGTGTGTGCATAGATAGACGGCCACTGCTACCTTTCTTCTGCTATTGGCTGCAGATGGAAATAGCTCCTCGCATATGTGACTTTTGGGTCGACTCAAAAGTCACCTCGTTGCATAGGCTGCCACTGCTACAATTCTTCTGCCATTGTCCTCATGGCAGGCATTATGGCTGTTGTGGCACAAGAAGAGGAGAGAAGCCTCACATGCCACTGAGGGTCGTGAGGGTGGAGATGGAGTCGGGAATCGATCCTGTGAAGTTGTTGCCGCTGAGATTTCTGAGCCACAAACACAGGTGAGGCAGCAGCGAGATAGCCTGTCAGCGGGGTGAACACAACAGCTTACTATGGGTGCAATGCACTACATCCAAAGAGGAGCATTTGACCCGACCCGACCTGGCCCGAGTGGGCTAGGCGGGTACCGGGTCGGGTCAGGTCTGGTCTTCCCGGGTCGGAGTTTCCAAAAAACTGAACCAATTTGGCCTTAAGGGACCGGGTCAAGCCTGGCAAGCCAACGGGGCAGGTACAGAAACCTGCTTTCACCCAGGCTCTGCACAGATCTGGCAGCGGGAATGCAGGTAAGATTGCATCCATCGTCTCTTGACAATTTATATCTAATATTTCTTTCTTTCTATTTTGAAAATTTTCTTTTCACCAGGATAAAATATTTTTCCAGACCAAAGTTAACAAAAGGTTTGGGTGAAAACATTGTACGTGGTTTTTTCGCCCAAAATATGAAATAAGAGGTGCAATTCTGCACCCTGGTGGTGCTAAGGGCAAGATTGAGCAAGCGTTGTTTACAGTGGGAAAAGGAGGAAGAGAGTGTGAGAAGACATATTTACATCTCTGCACAAGTGACGTTCCAGTGTGAGAAGTCTGGTAAGGAGCCCGTGAAGTCATTTCCTCCCAGGTTACTGCACAACTCAAAAAGAGACGAAATTTTCAGGGGCATAGAAGTTAACCATGAAGGGACAGTGCTGCACCAGGCACACACAATGGTGACAATACAAACAGTGGTGGCAGCACGCAGTGCTTCAAATTCTTACAGCATGTCAAGAGAATTTTCGACGCTGAGAGTACGTGGGAGTTCCCCAGAAAGAGAGTTGTTAGATACATCCCTGCGCTCGGAAATCAAAGGGAAGGCTGGATGCAGAAGTTAGAAATCCAAGCATACTGCCAACCGACACACAAGAATGCATCGTGGCCTCTGCGAGACAGTTTTATAGTCGACTCGAATGCATTCATGTGTTTTGGCACTCAAAAACCGGCTCATCGCACATGAATGCATCTTGGCAGTGGAGCAAAGTACTTGCAAATTACCATTTGACATATCAGGGATAGTCCTATCTAGTTTTGTATGCATGCTCAGACCTTCTTCATTGAGAGAAGGACAAGGTGGAAGAAAATAATAATTTCTGAAACACGTGTATTGGAGCTACTTACAGCAAGAACAAACCGGTTAGCTCAAGCAGGCCCCACGGGATAGTTCCATAGAATTTGTTGCTATTGAAATTTCTGCACAATGGTATCAAGAGCCAAGTGACCTCAAATATTCAAGCACAATGCTAAACGGATCCTCAAACCCGCTACAGTTCGCAGCAGTGCAACTTACATGTGATATAGGTTGACAAGCTCGGTCAACTCGCGGGGGATAGTCCCTGTGAAACTGTTGTTGCCCAAGTTCCTGCCATGACCATTTTGATTGTGATTGCCTTTTAAGCTGTTGGCCAAGCTTCAGGTAGGAGGAAGTACTACAAGAGATGGCAGCAGTTACTTCATCAGTGCAACCCACCTTTGTTTGAGGTCACGCATGGATGCATTACAAGCACGAATAAGAGGCTCTTCTGTGCAGTTTCGCTGGAAACAGACTAAACGAGAGCTAGCCGGTTCGGCTCGGTACTTTGATTGCTTTGCTTGCTTTTTTGCTCCTTAAGTGCAACAAGTGCTTTTGTTCAAGGCCACAAGCGCATGTCTTACAGGAAAGGAAGGCCCTTGAGGCGCAGAATAAAATCCGGGAAGGTTCCTGTAAAATGGTTGTTTCCAACATCCCTGAATGAGGCCCAGGGCGTGGTGGGGAAATAATGAAACAAATACCTAGTGAAGCACGCATTCATTCGCTCATGTACAGGTCACTGCATACATGCACGAACACTTGCACATGAATGAAGATATATTTATATATATATATACATATATATATATCTTGCTTATATTATATGAGCTATACACCAAGACAGAAGTGTACAACACAACAAGCAGAAATATGAAATTATACAAGTGCATACACTTATGCACACAACAAACGCTCATCCACCATGCATTGGAATACAAGGCTACATGAATTAATTACAGAAGCACGGGCACACAAAATACTCAGGTGAACTTAGAACAGGGGCAGTCACAACGCTTACTGTTGCTGCATGCATCCCACCCACCCGATAAGGTTTCATGAAAGGGGTTGTTGCATTGAAGTTGAGAGATGGATTGATTATACTCACAGGTAGGCGAGATTACTGATTGCTGTGAAGGCCGCGGGAAGCACACCCGAGAAGTTGTTGTCATTGATCGATCTGCATAGCCGGTATTGGAGAGAGTGTCCTAGCTCAGATGTTGCAGGCAGCCAAAGTGGACCAACGGAAGGGAAGCAGGGTCAGGGCCAAGTGAGGTGCTTAAGAGGGGAGAGCACTCACATGTCGTTGAGCACTCACATGACGTTGAGCACTCACATGACGTTGAGCCATGTCATCTGAGCCACCACGTCAAGGCCTGAGCTTAAATTGTTGAATGGAACGTTTCTGTCACGTGGAGCCCGCGCACGTTCGCGCGCGCACGCACATGCACACGCGCGCGCCAACACACACACACACACACACACACACACACACACACACACACACACACACACACACACACACACACACAGACACACAGACACACACACACACACACACACACAAACACACACACACACACACACACACACACACACACACACACACACACACACACACACACACAGACAACCAGCATAATGCTGGGAAAGTTGCAATTATGTTCAAACGAGGCGCAGCAAAGAACAATCAGTAACATGTGACAACCTACATTACATTCCGTTCATGCAGCAGTTTCGTGTCATGGGGGTGGGGAGAGGTACATGGGGGGAGTGCAGCTTGGGGAGAGACATACAGACTATTCATCCAAGTGAGGCGAGTGAAGTTGCTGGGGATGGCTCCTGTGAACTGATTGTGGGATAGTTGACTGCAGCAAGGGCAGCCGAACAGGAATTATTGCAGATTAGAAATGGAGTGACACAAGATTCGAGAAATGGGGTGAGGCGGAGAGTGCAGGTGGGAGGAGAGCCCAAGGGGTGAATAGGTCTGGAGGTTAGAAGATGAGTGCGTAAAAATGGGCAAACATGGGGGGCTCACAGATAAGAGAGGTTGGGCAGTGACGGTAGGTGTGGTGGGATGGGCCCACTGAAGGCATTGGATTGGAGGAATCTGGATAGGCAGTCAAGACAGGAGGCGACAAGGGAAAGGGGAAGAATGGAGCAAAGGATGCGAGGCCATGGGGAATAGGGTTCCGAAAATACAAAGCAGGGCAAGAGTGAAAGGTGCGGGGGAGGGTTGAAGGAGCTGGTGGTGAGATCAGGACAAGAAGGGGGGGATGGAAAACTGAAGTGGGGGAGATGAAAGAAAGAGAGGGGCGGTGAAAGTGGAAATAATGTAGAGATAAAAAAACAAGTAGCAGGAATACTTTTGAGTCTTCCCGCGGGAATGGGGGATTAGGGTGCGTGTTCTGGTTTGGCATGGCAGGGTAAGGCAGGAAGCCATGCAGCAGCCGTTGTTGAAATGTTGGTGGTGCAGCAGATGTGAGCAGCCGTTGTTGAAATGTTGGTGGTGCAGCAGATGTGGGATATCGAACCAGCAACGATGGGATTGGGAATAACATAGGGTTATTGGAAGTGGTTCGTGTTATGCCCGCGACGAGATCTGGAGTAGTTCTCGGGGCAGCCTCGTGACATGGCATGGAGCTCGATGAAATCAGGCATTTGTTTGTAAACCTGTGTAGAGAAATGGTGCAGACCATCCCATAGGAATGGTGGGTGGCTCCTTCGCAAGTAAGGGTGCACAGGCCTGCAGCTACATTATTTTTTTTTCATGTTTTCTCTCTGCATGATTGGTTGAAAGCACCAAGGGTAGAGGCTGGGAGAATTTCAAATTGGACCTCCGACAGAAAAAGCCTGAGAGCTTCAAGCACAGAAACAAAGACAGGAAGATCTAGCGAGGCACCATGAAGAAGAAGGGGGGAAGCTGAAAATTGAAAATGTACTGAATCATGAAGGTATGGGAAGTAGAATGTGCACGGGTTAGGCTTGTGACATATATTGACTGGAGCCGGAAAGAAGAATGACATACATTGACTTGATGCTGGTGGAAAATGCGGGGATGGTACCAGACAGTTGATTATAAGAAAGGTCTCTGCAGTGGAGGGGGGCAGAACAAGTGGTGTATGGAGTGAGGAAGGGACGAGGGATATAGACAGGGACAAACAGAGTGAGGGTGGGACAATGGAAGCAGGGAGGACACATGAAACTTACATTGAAGTCAGGCCTGTTAGGGACAAGAATGTTGCCGGAATTGTGCCTTCAAATTTGTTGACTCCCAAGTCACTGTTAAAGCAGCAGTATACATTTGGCAGGGAGAGTGCCAAAAGTTTATAAAAGGTACATCGTGGGGGCAAAGTTGTGGGGCACGCTGTAAAACCCTGAACCCCGCTGTCAAATGTATACTGCCGCTTTAAAGAAAAAAAAAAGTTGTTTAAAGAATCACGGGGATAGGCTTTAAGCAAAGAAAAACGCTGACGTACTTCTTTAAATTACAGAAACCTGACTGTAAGAGACCAGTGCTGGTTCGTTCAAGTTGAACTAATCAAAAGCTTCAAAACAAATCAGTTGAGGCATGTCCAACTCCAGGTTTGCAGCTCGAGCAGCGCGGGTTTCCTAGAGAAGCAATTTAAGTTAAGGTCTGTAGAAGTTCGTTTCGAGCCGTTCCGCTTGTTCTTGGCGAAAACAAAACTCCTGCTTGGTTCGGATACTTGCTCAATCCTAGACGCCACGGTATATGTTCTAGGACCTTACTAATTCCGCTTGTTTTGGCAAACAAAGCTTCTGCTTGGATCGGATACTTGTTCAATACTGTAGAGAGAAACTCACTATGGCAACATGGCAGGATGGCAAGTTGGTATGGTAAACAGTAACTCACAGCACTTGCAGATGGGCCAGATTGGTCCAGCTATTGGGGAGGTAGCCTTCCAGGTTGTTTCCAAAAAGGGAGCTGAAGAGCAGGCAACAGGTGGACGCCAGAGTAATAACTGGTGGGAGTTCTGAGAAACTAGCGTAGGGATTATGAGTGATTTTCTTGTGGACCATATGAACAAACCTGCTTATGCATATCACCTCTAACGCGTTATGCTTGGACATTTCCACTGTTTTCCCAACACCCTTGCACTACTAGCTTGCAATGAGTAAGAAGGAAACCCCAAAAGGTCTTACATTGGAAAACAAAAGCTGACACTAAGCATCCGCACCAAGTGAAAGCCACAGTAAACTCACAGGACAGTGAGTGCTGTGAGCTGAGAGAGGTCTTCATTCAGCAATCGCCCCTGCCGGTGTGGATTGTCTGCCTCCAGATTCCTGCACACAAGAAGATACCGGCAAGATGCGGCGCACTCAGAGCACCTCAATCACAGCCATCGCCATGCTGGCACAGGTGGTCCTCCTCATGAGGCGCCTCAAAAACACACAAGAAGATGCCGGCAATGCTAGCCATCGCCATGGCTGGCACGTGTGGTGTGGTCCTCCCCGTGCCTCGTGGGGGTTGTGGCGTGGCGTGTGTGTGACAATGGTGCGTGTGCGCACTCAGAGCACCTCAATCCCAGCCATCGTCATGGCTCGCACGTGTGAAGTGGTCCTCCCCGTGCCTCGTTGGGGATGTGGTGTGTGACATTGGTGGAGGTGGAGAGCGAAGTAGGAGGGTGTAGTAGGAAGAAAACTAAAGCCGAAACCCTGGAGCTCACAGATACTGAAGGTTGGTGAGTCGAGTGACCCAAAAGGGGAAATCCGCAAATCGAAGGTAGGATAGATCCCTGCAGCAGGGAGGAAAGCAAGAGCAGAGCACGTCAGAGTTGCAGTCACGTCCGGCGAGGGGATGGGGATGAGGATGAGGATGGGGATGGGGATGAGGATGAGGATGAGGATGGGGATGGGGATGGGGATGGGGATGGGGATGGGGATGGGGATGGGGATGGGGATGGGGATGGGGATGGGGATGGGGATGGGATGGGGATGGGGATGGGGATGGGGATGGGGACGGGGATGGGGATGGGGATGGGGATGTGTTATTTGTGCACGAACACGAACGAATCCGTTTCACCTGTGACCTGTCCCATCGGACTTGAGTGGAGCTTACAGTGAAGTGAGGGAAGTCATGTATTGAAGCTCTCTGGGTACCTCTCCTGTGGCGTTTCTGAGTCTCCGGACTTTCCTGCGCTCATGCACATGCAATCAGCCATAATAAGCGAATTACCATAGCCAAATGCGAGCTGGTATGGACTAAGTCACATGGTGACATGCAGAGTAAGAATAGGAGCAAGGAGCCGCGCACCACTGTACCGTACGTTCTTGTATGGCAATGATGCTCACAGATCATGTAGGCTTCTCAGGTGTGAAAGAAAGTGCAGGGAGGACAACTCCCCTGTGAGAAATGCCAAGTACTCTAGAGACCTGGTTGAAGAGAGGGGAGTGCGACACGGGACAAGAGAAGCCATTGGGGGTGGTGTAGCGTAGGAGCATGGGGACTGCTGCTTTGCATGCTGGACAATGGTGTGAGCTACAACGGTGGGGCTGGACGGAAAGCGAAGGAGCTAAGAAAGCATACGTATACGTGAAAAGGACAAGAAAACCGAAAGCAAGTTGGCAAATGTTGAGAAGTAATTTGGCTCAGCCTAAAATGTCCAACCGCAGTTGAACCATGTTTGGTACAAACGCAACAGGTCAGTTTCGGTTTCAGGGTTGGTTAGTGAATCCGGTTCCACCATACGGCACGTGGCTAAATGCGGCACACGCATTACACGAGGCTCCCAACTCCTTTTTAATTGCTTAGATGGTTTCGTTTGAGTCGAATTGTGCAATCCCCTGTTTTGAACAATATGCTACTGAAAATTCAGAAATGTCCCCAGCCATGTCTTTCCTCTAACGTCAGCTTAAGGCAATTGGTAAACTACTATAGCGAGGTTGGATGACACAGTGGAAGAAGAGCGACGGCGACATTGATTGCTCGCAGGAAAAGCATTGCCTTGCAAGGCGAACAGTGTTTGCATCGCGTGAAGTACAGTGTTTGCAGGTTGGTGAGGGAGGAGAGCCAGGCCAGTCCCTCCAGAGTGCCAGCGTGACTGATGCCATTGCCACCATCCATCGCAATAGCTCTGCGTGCACATGGGGCATGCAAGCAGCAACAGTGCACATGAAGGGTGCACGTGGTAGTACAGTGCAGTTAGTGGGAAATGGGACCACATGGGGCAGCCACAGGGATGCAGTGTTCAGGGGAAATGAGGATATTATTATTTGGAAGGAACGTGGACTTGACGAGTACAAAAGTACTTGTACAAGCGATTGGTAACGCCGTGGGAAAAGGGCCAGAAAGGAAATGGTAGTTGTGGAAGGGAAATGACTTCAGTCTTGAAAATTTGCGGGAGCAACAATCAATTAAGCTGGAAAGAGCAGGATCAGGGGTGCATAGGAGTGAAACGAGGATGCTGGACGGGCATATTGGATGGGCAGGGCCTAGTCCAACATTCAGTGGAACTGGTTTGGAGCCATGGAAGAGCAGCACTCACAGGTGACTTTTGTGTCAGCTCAAAAATCAGGGCCTAGTGCAACATTCAGTTGACCTGGTTTAGAACCATGGAATGGAGCCATGGAAGAGCAGCACTCACAGGTGCATGAGACCAGTGAGACTGGCGAGGGATGGAATGGGCCCGAACAGATTTAAGCTGGTCAGATCACTGTGGGATGGGATGGGAGCGCGAACAACAGTGGAGATGGCAAGAGGAGGATAAAATGGAGTTATCTCTTGCAATGCAATGAAGGCATGCAGGTTGTGGTCCGGCTAGGCATAGGGAGGCATGGAAGGGAGGCATGCAAGGGAGGCATGCAAGGGCAGGAAGAGGGTATGGTCAGTAGGGTTGTGGCATGTGAATGCGAGAACGACATTGAAGGGCAGAGCAATACGAGGTTAGGGCGAAGCCAAGGCAAACGAAGATGAATGTAGACTGTAGTGGAGGGAAAGGTAGGTGGGTGGGTGGTGACGCACAGGAGTTGCAGAGTGGAAAGACCGGTGATGGAAGCAGGTATGGAGGGACTGGGGAAATTCCGATCAGGCCGCACTAGACTTGAATCCCTGTCAACACGCGCATGCATGCACGCAATACCAACCAGCTCCCATTCCTCCCCCATCTCCCGCCCACCCCAGTTCCCTTCCCCAAATATCCAGCCCTCCCCCATCCCACCCCCCACATCCTTCAACCCATTCCCCCCCCTTGTCCGGATTGCAATGCTCCCACAGACACACAGAATCCAACACAATTAAGAGGCGCAGACAGCGGAAGGGTGACACAGTGAAACACTGCGGGGGAAAGGAGAGGACAGAGGGGGCCAAAGAGGAGTAACGACGGAGCACTGAGGGGGCATAGTATCGCCCTGTGCCTTAGACAAGGTTGGCCAAACGAGGGTTATTAAACGCTGCAACAGTCCCCTTGTAACCCGTTGGTGTAAGACTGGAGGCATTACCCCCGTGCTGCACCTGGTGTCAAACGTCCTCGTTCGGTTGGATCAGGGGGTTAGCTTTCCCAGGGACCTCAGAGTTCGGTTACCACATTCAAATTTTCTCTCCACCACAATTTTAGGCGAAAAACGTGGCTAGCAGAATTCGAACCCTTGGCTACGGATACCAATACAACGCCCGTGACATAGACAACAGCTTGATTGGGAGGCAATTACAGTAATGAGGGGCAATTAGGACATGTTGATAAAGGGAGACACACAGCACCGAGCAGAAATATAGGGTAACGAGAACAGCGAGTGGCGGAACAGTTCTCACAGGGAAACGACGAGCCCTTTGGGGCTGCAGGTGACGCCAGTCCATTCAGAGCACGCCGTGGTGGCGTTGCTGTTGTTCGCCCAAACGCCGCCCCACGCCTCCTTCAGCTGCAGCAGCACCTTCACTGACGGTACAGGGAATGCAATTGGGACCGGGGGGGGGGGGGGGAGGGGGGGGGGGGGGGGAGGCGGGGGGTGGGAGGGGAGGGGGGGTGGGGCGGCGGGCACGTCGTGGCGTTGCTGTTGCCCGCCCACACGCCCCACGCCGCCTTCAGCTTGCAGCAGTGCCTTCACTGACGGCAGAGTGGATATGGGAGCACCTTTTCCGTAGCTAAAAAGGGCGGGGGCCTTAGACACGGCACGTGCGCCTGGGTCGGTGTGACGTCGCAAAAGGGCATTCCGCTGCGCCAAAATCACACCCTCGTCTTGACGCAGGTTAGCGAGGTGTTATACTCTCTCTGCTCGTGTGAAGTGGAGCTCTGATTGCGGACTCCGGATCCCATTCGAAATGGGAGGATGATATCGCGTGAGGAAGCGCGCTGCTCCCAGAGTGAGAAAGCGCGCTGAGCTCTCAGAGTGAGAAAGCGTGCTGAGAGCCTGGACTGGACAAACTGACTCACATTGCGAGTTTTCTAGAACGATTTCAGCGCTCGCGTCGGCCCCGGCAGCGCCGCCGGTAGCGGCGAGCTTTAAAAGAGAGCGGCGTTGGGCGCGGCTCGGCCGAGCGCGAGACAGCAGACGTTGTTTGGACAGAAGCCGCTGTGGGTCATCACGGCGCGGCGGTGGGCGACTAGTAGTACTAGTAGCGCCGTGCGTAGTGCTGGAAATCGAGCAAGCAGCAGCGCCGCCGACAGTGAGCGTGAGGGCTGCGAGGAGGAGAGCGCAAGCTCCGACATTACTAGTAGAGCGTGCTGCGGCACGCCCGGAAAAACGCATTATCACGATAGGCGGCGGCGTGCGGAATCTAAAGCGTATCGTGTGAGAAAGGGAGAGTTTGACAGGTCACAGCTTGGCAAACAAGTGGTAGCGAGGTAGGAGCTCCACTGAAGGAGGCTCGACTGAAGGAGCTCACGATGTTCATTCTTTAGCTCTGCTCGCCGCAGTGCGGTGCGGGAGGCGGTGGGGAAGGGGGGAGGAGGGGATACACGCCTGCCAAACGAATGCCCTCACCTCACCTCACTCCAGGTCAGGCTAAGTGAGGCTAGCTCGAAGCGCGTGGTACGTGGATGGGAGTGTCGTTGTGTACAAGAGCCGGCACCTGGAATCGCGTACACCTAGTAACCTAGCAAATGCCCTATATGTGCGATTCAAAACGGTCCAATTGCTTATTTGTATGTTAACATTACATTTAATAAGTTCTTAGACATACCCACAATGTTATAAACACTCTCCCTTGACTTTGATTAATACTTTCCAAATCCTTCCTAATCTTCTCTATTTCCTAGTGCCACGAGGCACTCTAATTTCTTCCCTTACATTTCATAGTCCCACAAAGTACTTTTCAACTATCGTTCTTGCATGCCGTAACGAATTTTTATAACATTCGTTACTTGGCACCTGATCAGCGCATACAAGACCGACCGTTCTTCGCCCATTACTTCTAACGGTGTTTTGCCACCTTCGTGCGTCAATTTTGCTGCGACCAGAAAGTGATTGTAGCCCAGGATCTACCCAGGAAGGTTCGCACGCAGTGAAATAGTTGGTGGGCCCTTGACCTCAATAGCAGAGTGTAAATGCTTGAGATGATAAAAACATGCAAACAAAGTGATATAAATAAGAGTACAAGGGAATGCGAAACGACTTATCTAGCCATGTACTCTAAGGGGTACATTCCCTTATTCATATTCACTCCCAACCGTGCGGCGTGTACAGTTTCGTAACTGTTCCCGCCAAAACCCATCCTGCCTGCAGCTGCCAGATGCTGTCTGCTTCCGACGGTCCAGATGCGTCCCAACTGTCTGACGGTTCGGGTCAATTCCAACCGTCTGACGCTTCGCGTTCGTTCTCGTTACTGCGTGCTTCTCTTTGCTGCGGTGAGGAGTGCACAGTAATATTAAATATTACTATTCGTAACAAATTTCACCTAACCACGCACTGCTGGACTTGGCTGAGACGGCCAACGCTTTGGAAAACCTCGCTTCCAGCATTGCACTAGCTAGCTCACAAGTGCTACGATCAGAAGATGATCACTACCAGGATCTACTCGAGAAGGTTCGCACATAGAGAAATAGTGTTGCTGGGCCCTTGACCTCAATAGCAGAGTGAATGTAAATGTTTTGAGATAGTTATAACATGCAAAAACAGAAAATATAAGTATGAGTACATTGAAGACGAAATGACCTAGCTAGCCATGTACTCTAAGGGGTACATTCCCTTATTCAAATTCAT